GTCTTTCTGTATGTGCTTCGGTTACAAGATGTAAATGGGGGTCCCTCAGCATCCGTGCTGTACAATCCAACATAAAACGTAAAGTTATGCACAGACTGATAAATTGGTCTCCCAGCAGCCCATGTGGTCCGTAAGTAAACAGTGTTGAAATTACAGTGTCATGGAGAGGGTCATATTTTACGACCATGCAAACTCCGTGTTGTCAGATTAGCCCCTGTAATTTCCCCCGTCAGAAAAACCCTGAGGTCGTTGACCTTTGTGGCTAGCAATTTGATGCAGATCATGTTTAATGCATTTCATTGTCTGGGATTTTTTTTTTTTGAGTGTTTTACATAAAAGTGATCCATGAAAAACACTGTTATTTTCTTTGACCGCAATGGCGGTGTGGGCGTGGGACGGGAAGTGCTGTTTGGCAGTTAAAGTGGTCACTTCCTCCGTATTGGAAGCTTTTGGAGGCCCTAGCCTCTCTGATTTCTCTGAAGGCCGTGTCGGCTTTCTGCACAACATCACGATGGTCTCATGGACCTCTGGACTGGGCATGTCCACGACTAGCCACAACAGAACCTAGTGGTCTACAACAAGAAAACACTGCCAGGTCCGCAGAACACAGCGGCCGCACGAGAGGGTCCGGAAAAGTCCGGCCAAAACAAATCGCATGAAGCCAGGCAAGCCCTGCAAGACAAGTCAATCCACCCTTTAGTGGTGAAGGTTTGGCTCCATCCTTTCTTCTCCCCTCTCTCATTTTGTCTCTAAGTGTCTGTGCTGACATGGTTTCTGATGTTACACATCTATACGTGTGTCCATACATCTGGCCTGAGGATATATTCCTTCAGTATGCTTTTTATAGTGTCCACAGTGATTTCACCACTGTGGTTGGTTTTTGGCTCATTTCCTCTCTCTTTCTTTCTTGCCCTCCATTTCTGCTCTGCACTTGTCCACTTGTACTTTTCTTATATTTAATTTCAGCTTTGCCGAGTCTTTGTTTAGCTCCTGACTCGTCCGCGGCTCTTTATGTTGTTGTTTGAAAACTGGGATTTTCTCTGGTTCACAAGGTTCAGCCTGACACAGTGACCCAAGAAGGCAAACGCAGTGGCTGCTTCACTTTTATCTTTTTTTTCCCCCATTATGTCATTATTCCTGGTCACTTACTGGAGTTTGATGTGTTTTCCATCACGCAGCCTGTTTAGGTTTCCCAGAGTGGATAGAAAAGAATTGTTGTCAAAAGGAATAAAGAATTGAATCATTGAGGGTGTAGACAGGAGGGGAGACTTCGCACCACCTGGGGAGAATAATGCTTTGGGACTCACTCTCCCCCTCTTTCACTCTCCCCCTCGTTCCCTTCATCTCCTCCTACCAGTATCTCAGCACTGCCAATACTGATGACATTACCATATCTGTCCCCCCCATACACCCCTCACCTCATCCCATGTCTCTTTAAATCTTTTTTTAATATATATTACGTGAGATGTTCTGTTGGGGGTTCCAAGTTGTAAATGGCCGAGCCCTTTGCAGACTTGTGTTAGCTGAAAACGCTACAACCTCTCTGGTAACGAGTAGTGCAGAAGCAGGCACCGGGTGATCACATACCGGGGGGAATATCTCACAATGAGCGAGAGTAAAACTTCACGGGGTCGCTGTAAAGACGGGTGCACATGTGTTTTGTATAAAACTGGAGATGTTCTGATATCACTTCTTCCATCCTTCAGATTGTGAAACGAGAATTTTGCACCCATCAGATAAAGTGGGATAGTCTATGGCTGTGATGTGATTTCTATCATTGCTCTACGGCCTGGCTCCAATTAAACACTTTGTAAAACAAGAAGACAAAAGTACAGACAACTTATAACATAGAAATCTGACTGATTGTCTAGCTTATAACCTGCCAGAACCAAAAACAATCAAATCCATCAATCACAGATCATGATTCTGTTTAGGGATGTTAGGGACTCATTTCCCAGGTGATTAACAGATATTTAAATTCAGACTAGTCCAAATGTAAGGAAGGAACGCTACATATCTTGTGCAGTTATTGTCATGATGACCCGTCGGAGCCCTCACACTGGTCAATTGAACTGTGATGAAGCGTGGGCATAGCACGGATTGGGCATAGCACGGATTGCATAGTGTGAGTGCACCCTTAATGCAAGCTCTGAAACAAAGGGATGAGGAGAGGAGACAGACGGGGTTCCCCCTGCACTGCACTGAAATCATCAAGCTAAGAAGAAGAAGACTTGAGAAGACGTGTGTCCTAGCCTATCACCTGCAAGAGTGGGATGTCAAGGCACCAATCACCAACTGGGATGGGCACACCTTCAACTTCAACTTTACTTTATTGTCCCTGAGGGGAAATTTGTTTCGCAGCCAGGTGAGAACAACTATGAGAAAAAAAACAACAACTACATAGAACACAGGCACATAGAATCAGACAATAGAAACAACAAACACCGTGAGCGGCATTAAATACATAAATACAGGAGTTCATCAGGTAACAACAGGAGACTGGGAATGTATAAAAACGTCCATAAAACCAATTATCAAAACCAGATAGTGCAGTCACCTATTTACACAGATACATCCAACACAACCAAATGTAAACTAAACTAAACACACACAAAGTAAAACCTCAGTCTTAACACACAGTGATACCCAATCCCACATTTAACCTGAATCGGAAACCTTGTGTTGAACTACTCCTCTTGTTCACTGGCTGTTTCTCTCCTTTGTTCTACTTCTTTCTTTACCACAGAGCGTTTGTAGCTGCAGTGAGGTATGAGGTGCTAACCGTGCACAGAGTCTGTGTTGTGAGCTGAAGAACAGGGCAGGAATATCACCATGATGTATCCTGTGCTCTGCTCAGAGATCTCTCAAACCCCCCCCAAATCACCTCCTGAATGAGAAGCAGAGGCTTTAGAGGTGCACATCACACTCCATCCATCTGACTGCCCAGCAGCAGCAGAAGCAGCACATGACATGAGTTGAGTTAAGTCAGGCTCACGGCTCCCCAAGCCAAACGCTCTGAGCTGCCAGCACACACTTGCTCTAACCCAGTCAGAGAGCTGGCCAGTTCATCCAGTTAGTCATTTATCCAGCCAACAACGTCAACCGTTGTTTTCAATCAATCACTTTCAGCTACGAATTACTCCGTCTGTGGCGCTTTCTTCCCCCCCCCTCCTCCCTCTCCCTCCTTCCTCTGTTTCACTGCGTCCGCTGATGAAAGACGCTCTCAGAGAGGTAGCCAAGCCACTCGAGTTTGTTTTGACGTTTCGATGGCTCTGCTGTGAATGTGTTTAGAGTTTCTTCACATGACCAGTGTTGCATCAAAGCTTCTCAAACACTGTGTGGTTGTGTTTGAGAAGCTTGAATCTTGGGGGGGCCTTTCTTTCTGGTGCGTTTGTAAAATAAACCCGGTTTGACTGCGCTGTGTATGGGCCTGCCGTCTGACCCTGGTTAAGTGGATCACAGCCCTGCTCAAGACCAGAACACTGCAACAAACAAGTATCTGCTGCTATCAGTCGTGATCCAGGACTCTGTTGTGTTTGGAAAGAATCCCAGATCGCTCACTTGCTGGTTTTATGCTCTCTCTCCCTCTGAGGGCTTCACCTCCTTCCCTGCTGAATCTTGAAACCATCGGCTCTCCAGTTTGTTTGTCTGTAAATTAAATTTGAAATATACATTCTTAGCATAAGCCAGGTTTCTAAACCCTTAAAGGACATTTCTTTCAGCATGTTTAATTCTGAAGGGATTGAGATTGAACCTCTTTGATGAGCTGTATACGGGCCACAAAGGCCTGCGTTGAAGCAGAAGTCGACTCACCTAAGAGAGCTCATGACATCAGATGGTAAACAGCCAAGAACGTTCCTATCACTTACCTCAAATACACTTATTTTATCTAGAGAGGTCAGAACAGTTCATCTCTATTCTACACTGAGAGTAAAAAAAAGTACTGACACAAGCACCACAAGAAAAACAATCATCTTCCCTACACGGCTCAAAGTCCAATCTTGAAAACAAGAGAAAAAGAAATCAAATGGGGGAAATATAACTTCATCAAAATGAGTTAAATTATCTTTCAAAAGAAAAAGAAAAGTTTACTTACCAAAACATTTTTTGGCAAAATTATCTTACAACCCACAGATACCTTTAAATAAGGTTTGCAATAAATTACAAGTCAAGATACAAAACAAACAGATATTAGTAAAAGGTCTTTAGATATATATTAATCCAAAATAATTTAGATACATTATGCAGGAAAATGTTCCCTGGGCTGTACTTTGTCACTGAGGAACGACAGCATACTGTGCAATATAATTATTATATATATATAATATAATATAAGAGACATTGGATAATGTGCTTGGAATAAGAAATTTCACTCTGATAATCTGGTGTCGACCTGAACTGCTTCACACTCTGCTCAGGAAACCGTTTGCAGATGATGATGATGATGGTGATTTGTGGATGGAAGTCGTCCCGAGGCATGTGCGCCATCTGTTTGTTTGGAAAATAAAATAGGAAGTTGAACTCTTGAACGGATCAAAACGTGTAAGTTTAATTAGCTTGACATGGAGTTTTTGGAGTTGTTTCTGATTAGGGGACAGCAGTCAGTGTTCCTTGAACAGCAACAAATGCCGGGACAATAGCAGGAAGTAGAGGGGCGACGAATGCCGTATGTGTTTCCTTTTCCTCCCAGAGACGAGTCGAACTGTGACGTTAGAGTAGGTTTTCTGCACAGGACTTCACGGTGTGTTTATTTTACTTTTGCATTCGTACTAGTCAATCCTAAGAAGAAACAAGGACACACAGAGATAGATCCATTTTTTTAATACCATTATCAAATATTTGCATGTCATGTCTTCCGTCTCTTAACTCTCTCTGTGTTTGCTTCAATGTCTATTCCTGCACATGTTCATCACCTCTTCTATCTGTTCTTCAGCTGTATGTGAGTGTGACGGTTCATGCTCATACTCATACCTCCCTCTGTTTCCTGTCTCTTGCTGCAGGTCTGTACGAACTGCTGGCCGCTCTGCCGTCCCAGCTGCAGCCGCATGTCAGCCGCCCCGAGGACAACACCTTCCTCCAGGACATGTTCGGGGAGAGGAGCCTGCAGTCGCTGGTCAAGGTGAAACAAACAAAGACTTTTTTCCTCTTTACAAACCTGTGGTGCCATATCTGGGACAGCACATTTGTGCTTTCCAAGAGAACGTTTATGTATGCCTGTCTAAGTCCTGGAGGCGTTTCTTTAATCAACAAATACTATCAACATCCGGCAAAAGAGATCAGATTTTTTGCTAATTATACGTTCTTTGACTGAAGTTTAACTCACAGTCTCGCTCCAAAGTCTCCAGCTTTACACACAGCAAGCAAAAGATCAGTGTTTCATCCTTAAAATGAATGACCTTTAGTTGGCTTCAGAAAGGTTCATGTTGCCTTTTTAGAATCTCAACTACACCCCCTTTTTAGTCACATCCTTCCTCTCTAAGGATGGGACAGACTCTGAACCCCTGTCCCTCTCCAATCCACATAAAAACCCTCACACTTTCACATATTCCTCAGCACTCTTGTATTCGACCTCCTCCCTTTGCCGTCTCGTTCATACATTACACAGTTTATTGTCATTCCGACAGTCTTCCCACCCAGATCTTCTAACTCCCCCTCTGCCAGCATGAATGGGCCTGTGGTCCGGATACTGCCCGTTAATCCAGATAGCTGCAGAGTTTAGGAGGAAGATGAACCAAACTTGATCTCTTTATACACTCACCGGCAGACAGAGATAATGAAAGTAACACATTCAGCCTGTCTGACCAACGGTAAATGTATCTGCACTTGGGATTCTCTGCAAGCAGCCAATCTTCTTCTTTATCTCCTGCTGTTGAATAGAGTCACATTGGGTTTCTGTTCCCTCTAAGTATAAATATAAGGGCTGTATAAGACTCAGAATTTAGGCATATCAGATTCGGGTTTAATGGAGGTTCAGCTACAGTATATTCTCTCCTTTTTTTCTGTCCAGCACAGCCTTAAAACTTCTATATCAGCCCTCATAAATTGATTTTCTTTCAAAAAACAATTTCTCTCTCAACTTTATGTGCCACTTTAGGGATCGGCAGTCTGAGGACAATTTTAGATTCTGCCGTTTGCATTCTCACATGCAGCTCACCCTGAAAATTTGGAAACATTTTCTGGAGTTTTGTGTTTGTTTGAAAACACCATCAAAGTATGAAGGCAGCATCACTGTGGAGCTGCGTATCGGCGAGGTTGCGGAGTCTTTGTGTACACTTTCAATTTAGTGTATTTATCTGTAAAAACAATAAACAATAAATGAATCCAAACCTAAAAAGAGAACCCTTAAAAATAAGCTAGCTACAGCTCAGCTCCCAGCCCCTCCTGACTTAATTTTCGGACAAAGAAAAAAGCTTAGCTGATACACAGATTCTGAATTCTGAATTTTGAACGTTTGTTTATCAGTATTTTTGCTCATTTGGGTCTGTGTTTGTAAAGTTTGGCCTGCCACTTCGTCAGTGATGTTGCTCTTGCATTGCTCTATTTACAGTGACAAATCTTGACTCAGGACCTTCTTGACTGATCTATCGAATCATCAGCTTTAAGAGAGCAACTCTAAAATACAACAGCTGCTTCAGTTCTTTCTCTAGCTCTAAATGTAACTGAACATGCTGCATTACTCAATTTACTAGAAACACTTAGATAATTGTTAGAACTACATTTGACTGTTTCCTTTGTATATTGTCTCCATCTTGAAGAAATGCCCGACAATGTTTTTCATGTGCTGGCATGAAATATTTCCACATTTGGTGGTCTCTTTTTCTCTCTAGCCACAGTCATTATGTCACAGAGATGATTTAGATTGAAAAATCTGCATAATTTTCATCCCCTCCCTTTTCTTTGTAAGCATGTTTGTTCAGAATCAAGGTTGTAATCTGCCAATGTAAGCTTGTAGAAGTGCCCGTATTATGGCACACCAATGTCGAGCCTTGAGGAAGCCAGACGGGTTTCATTTGATGCCTTGATTGTTATGGATGGCCAAAGGATCAGGCATCTTGTACATGGATAATGAGGGGTAGGTCCAAGCTCTCGTTCTCGCCGGCCCCAAAGAAAACACAGCACAGTGTGGGGCAGAGAATATGATGCTAATGAAGGTGGCATTATGTTTCTGTGATATTTAGCCAGACCTTAGGGTGGAGCTCCAAGAATTCTCCTCGCCCTCTAAATACACCCTGATTATAGCAACATATTTAAACTGGATCCAAAGTGGAGAAAGTGTTGGGGCTGTTAAGACAAAAGTGCTGTATCCTCTCGGGCTCTTTACATGAAGTTCAGGAACAGTTACACCAAATATCTTGCACAGTTTTTCCTTCTTCTTTCAACAAAATCTATATTGTTCCTTTTAAATTTTTCCCATGACTGCAGATCAATACCCAAAACAGATGTAAAAGATAGTTGGTGATACAAAAATGGGTTTGTTGAATCAAAATGATACAAAATGATAAGTAAAGCATTGGCAGAAGCCTTTAGTAGTTATGGCCCGCAATGCTGGTTAAATGTTGTTTCTAAGCTTTAAAGGGGCTGTAGCTTCACTCACTGGTTACTGCAATACTGACATAAAGCTCTACCTAGAGATTCACCAGATCAGTGGACGCATGGCATCACGTAGTGCTGAGCGGTTTAGCAATATTTTGAGACAACGTTGTACATACAGTGTTTCCACTAGGTTGGAGTTATAGCAGCGGAGCGTTTATTGGACAAAATAATCAACCAACATTGTCATAACCTGGCTCCAGGGTCATGGCAAAAGACGAGAGGAGTCAGAAATTTACGAAAGAAAATTAATAATTTATTTTAAAAACGATGGTCATTTGATTCCGTAGCGCAAAATAATATAATGAGATAAGCTAGAGCCCAGCAGCGGAGGTCATATTTCATCAGCGGTACACCTCCAATTTCACATTGTTTACCCACAGATGTGTTAGATACATTGGGCTCATTATTGGCTGTTTTCTGAGCTCTAGTCTGAATTTACATTTGCATTTAATCAAAAAGGAAATTAGTCGTTGGGAGCATCCCTAATCTGCATACAGTAAATGGAGCTAACTACCTGGTTGTTAGTGTCAGATCCTGCCTTCTCAAGTTTCTAGTTAGACTGTAAACGGTGACAAATGAATGGAACAGAAGTATTTGCCCTGGTTGTCAGTTAGCCAGATATCTGTTGGCTACACTCAAAAAATGGAGGTTCCCCTCAGGGACTAAATTGTCCTCAGACCATAGCAGACTGGTTGCGTGGATTAGTGGTGATGTATGGATGGATGGATGGAAAAACAGGAAAATGTGTCTACAATACGAAGCCTAACAAATGCAAAAACCGCAGTGAGGGAAGCAGATGTGTGCATAAAGGCTCGAATGGTAAAACCATCTCCCTAAATGCCATCACAAAATTTGAATTCCACTTTGTTCATGTGCCAGCGAGATACCAAGTGTCTCTTACTAAGGGGCCTGTGTCAGTGCAATTCACTTAGTATCATTGATGGTCTATTCTAATGGTACCCATTTCACTATTGCTACTGTAGCAGAATAAATTCCCCCAATACACTGGACTTATGGGCCCGTCTTGCCAACAAAGCCACAAAAATTCTGAAATGCGTCAGTGAAAGATCAAAGAGCCCCTTTATTTCTCCAACAAAATGAGCCTCTTCTATTTTTATTCTTCCTTTTTGTTTAATAGAGGGAAACTGAGCTGAGTTTAGAGTCTCTTATCGTTAGCACAGAGGCATAAATGAAAACCGCCCCTGTCCAGACAAGCAGAACTGTGTGTTTCCTCCGCTTTCTACTTGGTACTGAGATGTGAGCCAGCCTGTCAGCTACTGAGCCAAATGGACGGAGAGGCAGACTTTGAAACACTCGGAAACTACAGAACAACCATCTCGCCTTACAGCGCTCAGACCCAGTATTCAGGTGAACATGGCTAACATCAGTGGCACACCATTAATAAAAACCTTAATTGTCCCCATCGTCCAAAGCCCAGCCACCAAATATCCACATATTTCACCATGGCTGTGAAGGGGGATACTTTGGGAATGGCTAAACAGCAGAGAGAAAACACACACATCATGTTAATTTGACAGGCTCAGCGGCCCCGGTCGCTCATATGGAAACGCTTAAGCCTCACCTGGGTAATTACGGAGCATCACTTACTGGTCAGTCTGTCTGGAGGGAGTGAGAGGAAGCAGGGGAAGATGTGTCAAAGATGGACAAGAACGAAAAGACAAAGGCTAGAACTAGACTTAAGGGGTGTGTGTACAGTATCTCCTCACTTGTCCTTGACTGATGGTTGGGGCAGTCCTTCAGGTTCCTCCTAATCCTGTTATGTCAGAGATGAAACAAATATTTTCTAATATCATCTTTCAACAGGGCTTAGAGCTCATGAGTTTACCTAATTCTCCAGACTTTTTAGCTGTGCAGATCAGACCTGACAAGAAATATGAGCACTGGCATGTATAGCTAGTGTACTGTGGCTATAATGAAGCAGACAGTTCCCCTCATTTCAATTAAATTTCCCAAGTGTGCGTTCTATAAATTCCTCCTACATTACTGTTCTGCTGCCAAGTTCCAGCTCAACAAAAGCCACAGGAAATATAATACAATATTCAATTTCCACCTGCCTCAGGTGGGGCTCTCCTTCAGGACCAAGTTTCTGTCAGCAGGCCTTTAGCCAGGCCCAGAGATCCGTCTTTTTGTGGTCAGTCAGTTTTCCTTTAAATTCTGCTCCTGTTAGTTGCTAATAGGCTTGGCGCATGTATCGTTGTTACACAGCATCATTGATGTGGACTTGCCAGTTTGTTCTTTAGCGCTTACACTGACGCTGGTACCCAAATGGAAAGTTTCAGCTATTTTTGATGAATGAGCTCACTTTCAGACAAACTGGACTGTATTCCTTGTGTACCAGACTTGGTATCCCATGAATAACTGGATCGAGATATAGGTAGCAATCCAAGATTTATTACTGGTCCTGTTTTGTCCATCAACTCTACTCCTTGAAGGAAGCCATAGACGTGGCCTTTGGACAGTTACCTTACGCTTTACAAAGGAAGATCACAGACAGGAAATAGTTCT